AAGCACGAGAGACTTTATGTAAGTTTGCTTTATGGTTAGAGGGATAAACTTTATATTTGGTGAGACTTAACCTGGATAAACGTAATCATATTAGACATCGATGACCATGAAGGAATCTGCTGACAACAGTGGTATTGCTAGGTGTTGGAATTGTTCATTCGGTTAACATTTTCCAATATATACTAAAAGCGTAATAAAATACTCTAAATGTATATATGAATACCAAGTATGTATACTTATTTTTTATTACGCGAAAGAAATAAGGCAGTCATAATTAGCAATATTTCAAGCATTAACTGTCGTAAAGGCAGCGTCGGGTCATTGCTGTCGCCCTCGGTCTGACGACACTCGACAATATCTCAGCAACGCTATGTACTAATGGCTAAGTACAAACGCCTCGTAGAACAGCCGGTCAAGTCATTGGCCGAGTCACGGACTAAACCTCGGTACAACATTAGATACCAATGGCCGATGATCCGACCGGATTACTACAAGGTTGAGAATTAATTAGCATGAAGCAAGTAATGTCCCGCTGGTTGCAGCCGAGCTTCGTAATGGACAGTTGACCCGAGCTGGCCGGTACAGCGATTTATGTATTGGCAATTCCTGCATGGCCAAGCAGAATAATTATTGCACCGAATTCCGGATCAAAAGTGTAATGCCCTCGATTTTGTCCTGTACACCTAGCAATTAATTTCAGAAACAGAATTTATACCTTTTTTTATCCTCGTTGCTGCATTCCGTTGAAATTCCACGTTATTGGACCAATTTATGCATTGACAATTTTTGCGTGGTCAAGCAGAATAATTACGCATTGCATCGAATTTTGGATAAAAAGTGTAATGCCCTCGATTTTGTCCTGTACACCTCGCAATTAATTTCGGAAACAGAATTTATACCTTTTTTTATCCTCGTTGCTGCATTCCGTTGAAATTCCACGGTATTGGACCAATTTATGCATTGACAATTTTTGCGTGGTCAAGCAGAATAATTACGCATTGCATCGAATTCCGGATCGAAAGTGTAATGCCCTCGATTTTGCCCTGCACACCTAGCAATTAATTTCGGAAACAGAATTTATACCTTTTTTTATCCTCGTTGCTGCATTCCGTTGAAATTCCACGTTATTGGATCACCGAGATACTCATTGCTCTGACTGTTCCCGGTAATGTCTAAGAAATACTATTAAGAGTGGGTGATTGGCATCAGTCATGCTAATGGAATCACTGGTTCTACCCAAGTATTGTCAGCCCATTCTTACTCGTTCATTCTGTCGTTTACATATCAGTAATTTTTAACCGCGGAGGCTGAGAAATGATTACAAATTGTATCGAGACCCTATCGAGCGTGCCGTGTCCTCGACTTTGTCCTCGAATACACGTCCGATAATTAGCTTCGGAAACGCAGAAACTGCTCACGTGTTTCTTCTTTCGAGGCTGCATTTCGTTGAAATACCACAGTATCGAGTCACCTCATTGTTGTCGTTTCGACAACAATTGGTAATGCATCAGAAATTTTGCTGAGTGCAAGCGATTGGAACCGCTGTCGACCAAATCATCGGCAGAAAGTGACTCACTAAATCTCGTAGCTCTATTATTATCTGTCTCGTTAATTAAGGCATTGGATGTTAAAACAAATACCGAGGAAGCTACTGTAAAATAATCGGCAGTCCCTGATGATTTCTATAGCATTTAACGCGATAACATTAGCCAACAATGTTTCAGTGATAGCAGCTAAGTGTTGCAGTACGCTTTTGTTGATCGTGTCGCTTATGTATCAGCAATTTTTGCTTGGAAAAGAATTGTAAATTCCATCGAGTCCTTGATCGAACGCATTATGCCCTCGACTTTGTCTTCGAATGTATGTTTGATAATTGGTTTCGGAAACGCATCGAATCATTGTTTATCTTCAGCCTCGAGCGTGCGTTCCCGTAAAAATCTGTCGCGGTGGCTTCGTTGAACAAAGATAAAAGAATCGAGGTCTCATCGATGACGTTTCCAGGTACAAAAGAGCCTCGCTTTGTTTAATAAAAAGTTTTTCAGTGGAAAGATTTCCCAGCACGGCCCACTTTGGTTTTCACGTCGCGTGACATCAGCGGACGGTTAAACGGAAGAATAATTACATATCGTGGTGGGATCTGACTTTGTACTCGTAGAGTATCTGTTGAGTAACATTTAGTATCCGTGAGTTGTTTTGAAAACCCAGCGATATTTGTACTTATACATTACATCACAAATACTGACGTACACAGAGAGCGAGCCATCGAGTACATTCCCTCTTTCCGAATTGCACGATTACATTTATCCGTATGACAAAACGCATATAAGAGGGAATCGAAAGTACACGCGATACTCCACGTATCCCTCACGACAGTTACCAAATTTGTACTTGTACGTTACATCACAAATACTGACGTACACAGAGAGCGAGCCATCGAGTACATTCCCTCTTTCCGAATTGCACGATTACATTTATCCGTATGACAAAACGCATATAAGAGGGAATCGAAAGTACACGCGATACCGCGACAGTTACCAAATTTCCGCCGTTTACTCGATTGCGATAATGCAATTAATGCGGCCGATGTAAAGCTGAATCCCAAGCTCTCTCTCTCGAGCAATTTGATTCCCCGTCCTAAAGTACGGTGTTTTTCGCGCGGAGGCTCCGATAGCACGCAATCGGAGTAATCACCGATCCTTCGGGACCCTCGATCAAGCGCAAAGCGCCCCGGGCTTTGTCCTGCCCTCGGCAATTAGTCTCGGAAACGCGTCGAATCTCCGCTTATCCACGACCTCTCGGCAGCATTCCCGTGGGAATCCGGCGCGGTCGGTTCGGCGAACGAAGCTGAAAGGATCGAGGTCGCGCGAGGCGACGTTTCCGGTGCTCCGCGAATCGAACTGGTTCAACTGGTTCGCATCCTCTCTAAGACGGCATCCGCCATTCCGCGTGCGCGCGAAACGCCTCGGCCGAGCCCCTGACCGCAAAAGAGGAGTCGCACTCGCCCGAGTGCAAAGCCGAGCCGAGCGATTCGCGCGATCCACGTGGTCCGCGGCTCGGAGGTTGGCGCACCCTCTGGCGGGTACTCGAGGAAGCGACCCGACCTGTCCTGCATCGTGATCTCCATCGGGACCAAGACGAATGATCCATTGTCGCGCTCGTTGCTTCGGGATGCGATGCTCCTTCCTGGACGATCCTGGGACCTAACGCTCCAGGGACTTGGAGAATCCCAAGGTGTTCGACCTGGACGTCGCCGGGGAGGAGCCGGAGCTGCACTGAAAATAATTCCCATGTAAATTTACACCCTAGATCATTGGTTATTTTGGGAAGAAAATGACTACGAGTTACTCTACGAATTTCGTATAATTTGTACGATTATACCGGAAGTCTGAACGTTATCACGAGAACATCCGTCGAAGGTACCAGACGATCNACGAGTACATCCAAAGGTACCAGACGATCGGGTTTTAATTGGTGTCTTATACTCTGTAGGACTTGACATGTTCCTTTTTCGATGGTCCCGCGGGTTTATAACGAGGTCTGCCCCGCGCAATTATCCGCTCGCCGAGCGGACATCGGGAATCCGCGGGCTCTGGAAATCACGAGACCGTGGAGGTTCGGTGGTCGTTTTGTAACGTTAACCCGTCCAGAGTCTCGATAGAGATCGTCTTCGAAGAGACGTTCGACCTGGGACCTCCAGGCTCGTAGATTATGCCTCCTCATCCCCATGGCCAAGCCACGTCGAGGGAGGTCGAGCTCGAGGTTTCGCTCGCAAGGTGGAACATCGTCGTGCCGGACGAACGATAAATCGATAAGGAGCGGTTATTAGTTTCGGGCGGTATCCACCTGTCGATAGAAGATCCCCCGACGCGGTCCAGAAGTAAACTCGGCTAACGGTTTTGACATAATGATATACCATATCGATCCATACCACTCGATGATTTCGTCTTTCGACAATACGAAGCCTGACGATTTTGCTTGTCTTAATAATTGTACCCTTCAACTCCCGCACGAAGTATGCGATTCGAAGGTCCATGTAAAGTAAGGTCCACGAAGTGCGAGTTGCACGCCGATAATAGTATATACGGCATTTTTAATTTCGTTAAGTATTCGGGAGCATTGCTGAGATGTTTATGCAGAGGCTTTTTTCCCAGCAACTCCTTTCATTCTTATATTTCACGTGCTCTTCTACTCGACTCTTCCCGTTTCCTTGAAGTGCAGAAACATCCATTTAATGTTGATACCGAGCTTTCACAATAAACGAAGTGTACACAAGCAAAAATATGCTTGCTCTTCATGCTTCGCTCATTACGCAAAAACGTGAAATCCTGCTCACCGGTTGATTTAAATTTCGTGACTTGTCGGTACGACTTGCCGACGTAATTGTGGGTACCTAAAGGAAGCACCGTTGTCTTCAAAGGCATTTAAATTCATTTTTGAGGGAAACGGGGCTCGCTTCAGGGAGCGAATCATCTCGGGTTTCATGAACTCTAACGAGACAAGCGGTGGGTAAGAGAAATACGAGCAAATTAACATTACCGCACTGAACGGCACTGTAACGGCACCGAGACGGTCGAATCTTCGAACTTGCCCGAGAGAACACGACCCTGAAACATGGAGTACTTGCTTTCTGTCAGATTCTCGAGGTCTCACGTCTTACGGCAATCGTGACCGAGCAGAGCAGCAGTTCGAGTTAATTGAACCACTGTTCTCTTTCGTCTACCCTTCGTTCACCTTTTCGTCCGATTAGAAATACTTGTACATGACCGCAACCTCCAAATACGCGTACCGACCCATTCATGAATTTGCTACATATCGTTCCGTGTGGGTAATCCCATATATTTTATTTGAGGGGGTTTCACTTTACCTTAACTTCGCTAATGCCAATGGCATGTCATGGTGTGTTCCCTTGTAATGTTTTATTTTCACGTTTAATTGATCGTTCCTTCAGTTGGACTAAAATGGTTGAATCATCTAACGATGTGCTGTCTCGTCTGTTGCAGATCCTTCTATGGAGGTTCATCGACAGGGACATTCGCCGCATGCCGAATTGCCGACTTCGAAAGCGAAGCGAGAACAAGCACTGCGTAACATCCTCGCAGCCCGTAGGCGACAGATTCTGGGTCAGAGGTCGAACGACCATTCGAAGATTCCGAATCCGATTCGAACAGCCAGACCACGGGGAAGCATGACCAAGAACACAGCTGAGATCTTGGAGGCCCAGGAGTCCAGACACGCGATGTACGTTGCAGCTCCTCCAGGATCTCAAACGGAGATAGACCTTAAAGAAGAATCAGGAGAACCGTCGAAACAAATCCCGTTCAAGGTTGGGTCAGAGGCATTGGATTCCACGAAGGAAAATCGAAGCGTTACAACAAATGGCCCAACACCCGCCAGGAAGATCGCGGAGTCAAAAAGCTCGAGCAACGAAAGCTCGAAGATATGGCCAAGCGAAGATAAGGAGGGCACGACTCTGGGCAGTCAAAGGATGTCCCATAGAGACTCGGTGTCCAGAGATCCTTCCATTGGAACTTTAATCACCCAAAAGAATCAGGATCACGAGGTCAAAGGGAGGAATACCGTGTCCATGCCGGAATCTTTGTACAATCATTTTAGACCAGTGGAGAGTAACATCCCTGTTGAAGATATGACTCAGTTTCTCTACTTCGGGCAAAAGCTCCACCCAGAAACGCCTAATACCACCAGCAGTAACTCCGTAGAGGTAACGTCTACCGCCCCGACCGTTTCCAGCTCTCGGAAGAGATACAATTCGAAGCGATTCGGTGCAACAGTTGCATCAACCGTCCCTCGACTGGAGGACATAATGAACGAGGAAATGAACATCACCGTCGAACGGCAAACGGTGGAGAGAAATAAAGTATCAAGAATCAAGAACACTTTCCGGAGTCCTGGCAGCGGTCTTTATTACCGAAAACCACCGGTTAGGCCATCCGATCCTACCATCGTGTCCAACGTCATTCCAACTCGCGATAACAGAAATTCCACGGTGGCAGGAAGTAGCGTTAAAAGCGAGACCGATTCCCGAGCGGCTAAATTCCCAACAAACCCGTTCACTCACGCCACCAGAGACGGAGGCTCAGCCTACGACAACAGCACGAAAAGTGTCGACGAGCCGACCCAGATTCCAAAGGTAGAGCGGCATCGAGGAGGAGAAAAGAGACTGCCCGATGGGGACGGAAATCCAGAAGGTGCGATAGATCAAGAAACTCGTCCAAAAAGCGAGGACGGCAACGCCCAAGATAGGAGCACGAGGCAGCAGGCCGTCAATTCTGAAACTTTCCACGAGAACGAAAAGAACCTAAGGAACCTGAAGGGTCCCCTGGTGGAGAACGACCCGGGAAGAGGCTCAGTCAACGGGAGCGCCGGCAAAAGAACGACGATCGAGCTCCGTTCCGAGCCGATGGAGACGGACATGGACGGCCAGCACTCGGAGCCGCATAAAAAAACGGGAGCAATTTCGAGTTCGACAGTTCTCGATACGGTTTCCGGTCTTCCAGTGGAAAGCGCAAAGCCCGGAAACGCCGGGAATCCGCAGACAATGCCCGAAACCAGTGGAAACAAGGCTAGGTCAGCTCCCACTTCCACCCCAACTCCACCGGGCGAGACGACGGAGCCGCGCAAAAAAACGGGAGCAATTACGAGTTCGACAGTTCTCGATACGTTTTCCGGTCCTCCAGTCGAAAGCGCAAAGCCCGGAAACGCCGGGAATCCGCAGACAATGCCCGAAATCAGGGGAAGCAAGGCTAGGTCAGCTTCCACATCCACCCCAACCCCACCGGGCGAGACCACGGAGCCCCTCAGGATAGTGGTACCGGAGGAGTCCCCACTTCCCAGCAACGGCACCAACGTCTCCCCAACGCCGACCGGCGAAAATCCCGTTAAAGCTTTGAGTTCTGCGTCGCACTCGGTCGCGCCAGGTGAGACTCCCTCCACCCCGAATCCTCGGCAAGTCCCGTCTCCCTCTTCGAGACCTTCGCCGGCGGTCGGCAGTACCTCGGCACCTGCCGTCCTGACGGCGCTGCAGCACGTGTACGCATACACGATAACTAACGTGACGCGCCTATTGCGCAACTATACCGGACCTGGGTTAAGCGAAGAGAAGCGCCTCGCTGTTACGCCGGGCGTCGGGAGCGCCGCGGAGATAAGGACCAGTCGGCCGGCCGGTATAGAGGCGGCGCATCCACGGCCGGAACCCAGTGCCGGCACGGCCGTTGAAGGAGCAGCAGCGAGTAACCCGAGCGAGCGCAAGAGAAAGACCGGTCTCCACCGGCCGGGAGCGCTCCCCAGAAGTGGACCGATCGGAATCGGAACCGGAAGTCGGTCCGGCGTCGCGGGGACGGGAACCAGACCCAGGAACCGGGAGTCCGACGGAAACGAGGAGAGGAGAGTGTTGGCCAAGTCGGCCAGTGCCGTGCTGAACCAGAGGACGGCTACCAGGGGAAGCGGTCCCCATGATAGGGCACCTGACAAGTCGGCGAAGGATTTTCAGGTCGGCGATAGAGTGATCAAGGTGGAGGTGGACGAGATAGCGGGCGAGGACGCGAAAGAGGAGGTGAAGAGTTTGGCGGGGGAGAAGAGGGAAATCGAAGACACGGGGGGAAAGGATGCGAGCGGCGGGCAAGGGCTACAGGAGGTTGGACATTCCGATGGAGAGTTGAAGAGCCAGGAAAAGGTTGAGATGGGGGAGGAGTCGGGAAGAGAAGTTGCGCAGGATGCTTCTGCGAGGGTGCCGGTCAATGGGACGGCTTTTATGGGAGAAAACGAGCAGGAAGGGACTACCGTGAAGAGCATGGGAGATGCGGAGGTGAAGAAGGCTCGAGAGAATGGGGAGCAAATAATCGCGCCTTTGGTCGAGCCTGGAAACGAGGAAGAGAAGAGGATAACGGGCGAAAGCGGTGAGAAAGTTTACAGGGAGCGAGTCGATGGGATCCCCTCGGGGAGAGGGAATATCAGCGATGCGGAGAAAAACGGCACCGCGGAGAGTGTCAGGGTCGAGGACGTCGGTAAACGGCCGTCGAGCGAGAGCGATACGAAGTCCACGGACGAGCACTCGGAGATGCCGACGAAAGCTTTTAGAGAACCCGATGAAACTCCCGGGACGATTCCTGTCTTTCCGGTTACTCCCAAGATCCTGACGGACGTCAATAGAACCTCCACCGACGACGGTGCCGTTCTAAAATCTGCCAACACCACCAAATCCCCGGACCCTCGACCTCTCGTGTCTCCGCCGGAATCAAAAAGGCCATTCGGAATTGCGGAACAATTAGATCCGTCGGAGATTCAGAAGTTGTACCGTTCTTCCAGCACGGCAAAGCCCGAAGGTCCCGCCACTTTGGACGTCACCACCGAGAACCCTACCCTGGATCCCCAGGAAGCTCCGACCATTTCCCCCTTTCAGGAAGCCGTTTCCAAAGACCCTCGCAAGAGCAGCGAGCGGTCGCCGGAAGTCAGAGCTAGGAACCTATCCGACGAGAACAAGGACAAAGACGATGTTTTACCTATAATGCACTTGTACAACACGTCGGACATCTTTAACGGCAGCGTCGCGACGGACTCTCGGACTCGTGGAACCGCTTCGACTTCCCTCGATCTTCCCACAAAGGCGCACAACTCGGAGGCTCATAGAGCGAGAGCTGATGACGGGGTCTCCGCTTCTAAAACCACGACCGCAAACCCACAGTTGCATGGCGTTCGTACAAAAAGTGGCGACGACATCCTTCGCCATCGGGAACTTCCTGATTCCATCGAGGCCGGCCTATCGGGTCGCAAAGACCGTCCCGAGGGAAACCGCGATCCTGGGACGACCGCGAACACCAGGGCTTCGAACTCCTCCGGACAGGTTGGAGCGAACAACCGGACCCGACATCGACCGGCGTATCATTATTCCTTGCCGGATTTCAATGGCTCTACCGTCTATCCCGCGGAATTGAACAGGACGTTCTTTGAACCGGGGCTAATGGTTGGTGCTACGAGAGATGCGGTGAACATCAGTGAAGTGATCTCAAAGAGACACGATGGCGATACCATTGCTACCCAGGAGACGGTTGCCGTCGTCAGCTACATCTTGGCAACTCTCGTTGTTTTCCCCATCGCGGTCGGTGTGGGACTGATCCTCAGAAGACTGATCATTAGGAATCGTAAGGTGAGAATCTCACTTCTTCTCTTCTCACAGGGAAGAGACTCGAGGGGTTGTATGCAGTTGTCATATGGGAAATTCAACAATTTCTTTTCATAACTAAAATGCATTTTTTGTATCGAAAACAGAGATTCCCTGGTACAAATTAGTGTTGAAATAGTGCATCCTAATGTATTATAGGCGTAATAAGAAATTTAATTAAGCAATCTCTTATCGGAGCCGTTGGAGTTATGAATCCGATATGAAAGAGTACATCGTGCTCAAAAAGAAGGTTTATATTTCCCTCGGCACAATACGTCCGGAAGAATTTGACATACTTTCCTGGTTGACATACTTATTCCAGTAGAATGCCGTCACTGCGCTACATTTTTCAATTTTATTCATCTTTAAGTACACGGAAGAGAAAGCTATATGATACTTTTTTTATGACAATACCAATAACCTTTGAATAATAAGATTAATAATACTGCACACTAGGTTGATAAAGAAGGAAAAAGTAATATCGCTTATTAACTTGGAGTTATTAACCTTTAGAAGTGAAACTTCGGAGTATAATAGAAATTTCGTTTTGAAAAGAATCAAGAAAGACGCAAAATTCCAGAAAATTGTGTTGATTTTCAGAACAAGTCGAGTAATTAATTAACATAACTGTTATAAATAAGTAAAAGTCGTTGATAGTCATGAAATGCATTATAGGTACATCGTTCTAGTACAAAAATTATATATTAATATATACAATATATATACAAAAATTATATAACAATGTATTTTACAGACTGGATACATTCGGCAAAAGTTTGTTCAGAGCGGTAGTGGCTTTTCGAAAGTGGAATAGACGTCTCTTTAATCGGAACTAATTCTAATTAAGAATGGCAAACATTATATAATTTAATTCCTCATGAATCTGCAACTTTAACAGAATCCTGGCAAATAGAAAGTCATTACTTTCACCTCGAAAACCGGTACCGCTACCATTAATCGAGAAAGGAATTAAGGAAACTCTACCGATATACCCGAGTGTCAAGGGTAAATGTCATTTTACTAAAACGACAAATAGAATATACCATTTCATGCAATTCACAACATATTACCTTAAAACCTAACGTCAACAACAGTCAATACAAACATAAACGTCGACATCGCGACACGTTTCAGATGATGCAAGTTGGAAGAATTTGATAATGTGCTGATAAACATAAAATTTCCCTGCGTCGTTGACGTCATCTGAAAAATAATAGACCATTAAACCCATCTGTGGAACAACTATCATATCACTAAAACGACAAATAGAATATACCATTTCCTGCAATTCACAATATATTACCCTAAAACCTAACGTCAACAACAGTCAATACAAACATAAACGTCGACATCGCGACACGTTTCAGATGATGCAACAGTTGGAAGAATTTGATAATGTACTAATAACGATTAAATTTCCCTGCGTCGTTGACGTCATCTGAAAAATAACAGACCGTTAAACCCATCTGTGGAACAACTATCTTCTTCCCAGCTACCGATCGGCGACTTCGATTTGCCCAGGAAAGCGATTAGCTTAGGTGGTAACGGTACCGAGCTCTTTGCTCTTGGTCGGTACCCTGGGGGTCGGCTAGGGCAAATCATTTGCACCGGTGCTCGTTATCGCGTCCAGGCGAGTCCCGGACCCGTTACGGCGAGAGAGTCGTCGACGTCGGGGAACATCGGCGTCGTCGACGGGGTACACCGTCGGTGACCGCGAGAAAACTTCCCAGCGGATCCGTCGGGGGATATCGACGCGGCGAGGCGCGCAATTAGCGGCGATGGCAGCGCCGCGCCGCGCCAGCTTGGAGCGACTGAATTATCGCGAGCGACAAGCCGCGCCGCGATCGCCCGTAAAACTCGTTCTAAACTGCGGAGCGTAAATCACAATCCGCCGGTCAAATCTATCAACCTCGTGCCTTCGCCACGCGCGATTCTCCCTCGTTTCGAGTGAAAAGGACGACGCGGCCTCCGTGGGTCGCCGAACGATCTGTCCCCGAACCTTAAGGTGAAGTGAAACCCCCTTCAAATCAGTCGATTCGAATAAAACACTTTTTTTTAAGGGTATTGGACTACTGTCCGAAACTTTGACACATCGTGATCATCTAAGAATTGTCCTGACGCATTCAAAATTAGGATTTTTGGATGACATGGATGACCAGAACCAAAATGGCGTCGAGCTCTCGTATTTCGATCGATGTACAATTATCGAGGGCTCTGATATGAGAAACGAAAGGTTCAGGACAATTTTACGACGATTTAGAACACTCTGGTAATTGGTAAACTCGCATTTGAATAGGCTATAGGCACAAAAAGTGTTGTATGCGCTTTTATGCTAAAACGATGGGAATGCGAGGTCTCGGAGTGAAAATTTAATTCACCTGGGAATCACAGATGGCGCAGGGGGTCCCTCTGTAGTTATTTAGAGTCTCAGAAAGCATTCACCTTAAGGTGATGTGAAAAGTGGGCTTGGGTAGATTTTTTTAAGTGAAACTTATATAGCCGTGGTAGCACGGGTCTTCTTCGGAGTGGACCACATGGATGCTGACGCTCGTGATATGCAAATGCTTCACTTTGGAAGTGACGGTGAAAGTAAAGGGATATGTCTTGGATGTAGGATGTGGGATGTGGTCCCGTTCCGTGATCCACTTTCAAAATATGTTTACGGCTGATTTTAAGGAGGTTTGTCACTTCCTGTAATCGTTAACCCGTTTCCTTTAGAATCATTTCCCATTTAATGTTTAAATTCAGTAAAACGACCGGTCTAACGAAACCGATGCTCAGCCGTGAGGTATTAAAGAATGGATGAGGATTAGGAGCAAAGTAGTTTACTTTGGACAAAAAAGTAAGAACGAAAGTAACGAACGGGCGTTAAATGTAGGGTCTGGAATAGTCATGTTCTGTCTTCCGCTTTGAGAATGTAATTACATAGGAAGGGGATGTGTAGTCGATCTGCCGGGTTCGCAGATCATGAAAGAGACTGGTCTTAATCATTAAAGCGGGTAAAGAAACGTAATTATCAAATATGTCGAAGAAATTCTATCCCAGAGAAGATGTACCTCGTAATAAAGCGAACGACTTCCACGAATGTTCATTGCCCAAGATTTCAGCGTGAAAAAAAATGTCACATTAGCTTCGTGCATCTCTGAAAACCCTCACACGACGTCTCTAACTTTACTCTAGCTCGCTTCAATATATACATCCTACATATTTCCAGAAACGTGTCGGAACAAACGAAATAATATTTTCTCTGACTTTTCCATAAATAGACGTTTAATTAGATACAACATATCTACGATCGGATATGCAAGTGTTATAAGCCAATTATTGTCGGATCTCCATGGCAAAGAAGAATTGCACAGATTCCCTAGGCCTTCATCTCGCACCGGACGCGGCCATGTCGATGTGCCTAATAACCCCAGAGATTTCCAATAAATGCCTTTATCAAGTACGTCACATCTCCCAGGGTATCTGCCGCAAGTATGGGAATGACAGTTACACCGTGGAGGAACGCACATTAGTCGCATCTCTGCGCCTAGATCGTAATCCGTCATTACAGAGATCAGTGGCCGAGTGGACGCGCGGGGTGCCGAGAGATGATGCCCGGGCATTGTATGGGAATGCTCATCCCGGGGATGACGTGGCGGCAGCTCGTCTTCGTCATTGTCTTCCAGCACGTTAGATCCGCTGGATGGTCCCGGCTTCGGGGAACCTAGTGGAGGTGACCATCGCTAACGATAGTCATATCTCTAGGGGAATTATCTTTATCGGGATTAGCTCAAGGACGAGGATATGCGAGCGCCTTCAAGGTGCGAATTTCCGATCGCCTATCGATTGCGTGGATCTCCCGAGGCTCTGAGGATCCTTCGAGTATCTTTTGAGGATCCTTCGAGGATGTTCTTTGGATCCTCCGAGGATCTTCTGAGGATCCTCCGAGGATTTTCTGAGGATCGTCCGAGGACCTTCTGAGGATCCTCCGAGGATTTTCTGAGGATCCTTCGAGGATATTCGGATCCTCCGAGGATCTTCTTTGGGTCCTCCGAGGATCTTTGGATCCTCCCAGGATCTTCTTTGGATCCTCCCAGGATCTTCTTCGGATCCTCCGAGGATCTTCTTCGGATCCTCCCAGGATCTTCTTTGGATCCTCCCAGGGTCTTCTTTTGATCCTCCCAGGATCTTCTTTGGATCCTCCCAGGATCTTCTTCGGATCCTCCAAGGATCTTCTTCGGATCCTCCGAGGATTTTCTTCGGATCCTCCGAGGATCTTCTTCGGATCCTCCCAGGATCTTCTTTGGATCCTCCCAGGATCTTCTTTGGATCCTCCCAGGATCTTCTTTGGACCCTCCCAGGATCTTCTTCGGATCCTCCGAGGATCTTCTTCGGATACTCTTACCAGGCCCGTGTTTAGCCCTCGCGTTTTCGTCCGCGCCTTTCGCTCCTCACTTTTGGCCAGCCATTTCTTCCCTCCTGGCTGTCGAGTCCGATTTAATTTATGTTCGGCGACTTTACGATCGGATTCGTTCTGCGTTAAAGGGCCTCGCTTACCGATAGCGGGCTCGTTCTCTATACGCTCCTCTGACGGTCTTTCCTCCTTCCGTTCTGCGCCGTGATTTAACTTTCGGGATGAAACCCAGTACGACTTCCTCCTGCGAGCGGATTCCACCTCGATATTTGATTTTGCGAACGTAAGAGCACTTTCCAGCCATCTTTTTGCTGCAACTGGATTTCGTTCGTTATTCACTGATAAGGCGACGTGAAAGTGGCGTCAAAGAGGTCTCGTTTATGATACTTTTCTCCAAACTGGCTGTACCGAATCGTTTCAGAGTTGACAACGTGAATATAGAGACTATAAGGAAGGTCCTGGCGCCCAAAAAATTTCAATTTTTTTTTAAATTTGTTTATAGATATCCAACATTTTTATTAAAAAATGAAATTTCATGAGGGTCGAGACCTTTCTTGTAGCCTCCATGTTCATCTTGTCAAGTTTGAAGCGAATCGGTACATGCAGTTTTTTAAAAGTTTCATTAATGATTCAGCTTTCGGATGTTTTCACACTTTTACACCATCTTAATGTATAAATTTCTTGTAGGATTTATTGTTTGGCAACGTTTCGGCGGAACTAAAAAATGCCCGTTTATTCCTCTCAGTCCCGTTCTACAAATATTCTTCAGTTTGCCGATTCCCCTTCCGCTTTACAGTTAGTTCGCGGAATGGACTTAAAGGAGACCGTAAAAAACCTCTTCGTCCGAGTCGATGATACTCGGTTATTTATTCTTCCCGAGAATTCGACTTGAATAATAACTTACATTCGGTCGACTGGAAGTGCCGAAATGGGTTAACAAATTTTTCAACGACTTTGTACCAAGAACATCATCACTTACTGTTATAAGTAAATTATTTATGAATTTACAATAGCAGTGTAATTTCTGAATTAATAACCTTCGATTTAGTAACGCAAATAAAAGAAAAACCGGAATTCGATGAAATTAGGATTATACGGTGTAAAATAAATTGACGAAGATTTGTACGTATTGGAGGCACCGAAAAATTTTCATAAATATCATAATTTAAGTTCAATTTCCCAAAAAAAAAAAAATGTTGATCAGACAATCTAAACCATAAATAATAATGATTAAATAATCGTATTAAGACGTTTCGTCGACAATGTTTATGGGGGGTATAAAATCAAACTAAATAATTCGTTCACAGGGTGAATAAATTGAGAAAAATGTCGCAAAAAGGTTAACATTAATTGCGATAAGGTTTTCCTTGTTGCTTGGAGTTGTCATCGGAAGCAATTTTCCTCGTGGTTTGATAGGTCCATTTTTTTTCTTTTTTTTTTTACTCCAACCGTAACACAAATTATTCGATTGTGGTTAATTTGGATCGAAGGGGGATTGTTAATGCAGGGGCATTGTGAATTACCATAAGCGTGTTTTTCTGGTAGCATAATGCTTCCTCGAATGTCCAGGTAAAGCGGTGGAAATTCCGTCGGAGCCTCTCGGCCCGAGGAGCGATGTCGGACTGATTTATAGGACCACCGGCAATCCTCAAAGAGCCAGTCAGGATAATTATCCGATAATGACCGGGTAGAGAGGGTTGCGCAATCTCTTATTGCGTGCGTCCTAATAAGCGGATCGTAACATTGTTCCTCGGTTCCGGACGGTCGTCCTGATGATCTTCCGTCCGATCGCTTGGAGCTTCTTTGTTATTGAATCGTTAATGCAAGGACCTTCCACGTGCAAGTGCAAGTGCTCTTGCATGTTATGCAAAGTTTTTAAGAGAAGCAAGAGATATATTAAATAAATATTTATTAAAAGAATTCCACGTGCAAGTACAATAATGCAAGTGCAAGTGTGTTATTGAATCGTTAATGCAAGGACCTTCCACGTGCAAGTGCATTAATGCAAGTGCAAGTGCTCTTGCACGTGATGCAAAGTTTTTAAGAGAAGCAAGAAATTTATTAATTAAATATTTATTAAAAGAATTCCACGTGCAAGTACAATAATGCAAGTGCAAGTGTGATATTGAATCGTTAATGCAAGGACCTTCCACGTGCAAGTGCATTAATGCAAGTGCAAGTGCTCTTGCATGCGACGCAAAGTTTTTAAGAGAAGCAAGAAATTTATTAAATAAATATTTATTAAAAGAATTCCACGTGCAAGTGCAATAATGCAAGTGCAAGTGTGCTCGCATGTGATGCAAAGTTTTTAAGAGAAGCAAGAAATTTATTAATTAAATACTTATTAAAAGAATGCCACGTTCTGAGGGACATTGGAAATGATTTATATTAAGGAAACTTTTATTAGGACAATTATGAAATGTCATTTCCTCTAAAAGTACGACCATAAAAATTGAAAACGATTGTAGAAATACAAAAGAAAGTCTGTCGCATCGAACTCTCAATAGCCGGTTAAACGTAGAAAAATGAAAAGGAAACCTGTAATAAAAGTATAGCAGTAGGAAGAGATAGATTTCGGTTGGCGGATTATAAATCATTCTGATAGATGAATCTGAAACGCAGGTGCTGGAAGAATCGGACACGTCGTCCGAGATAAGCTGCAGAAAGAACGCTCTGAATCTCGAAAGTGGAGACTTCAAGACGTCGATCGAGAAAGCGATTACGAAGCTGCCTAGGATACAGCATCTGGTGAGTGATCTTTGAATACGTCCCGTCGACAGTCAACCCTTTTTGCTGTCGACTCGAGTCCACTATCAACGATTCGATTTGCAGTGTCACGAAGCGGAAAAGCCGCCGCCACCACCGCAGCAGGAATCGAGGTGGGAGTTCCCTAGGGATAAACTCAGGTTACAGACGGTGCTGGGTCAAGGGAACTTCGGCCAAGTAAGTCTAGTCGATCTCATCCCGCCCCTAAAATCTCATATGAAATTACCACACCCTATTAACAAAATTCATACACTATTAGTAAGTCTAGTCGACCTCATCTCGCCCCTAAAATGCCATACGAAATTACCATACCCTATTAACAAAATTCATACACTTTTAGTAAGTCTAGTCGATCTCATCCCGCCCCTAAAATCTCATATGAAATTACCACACCCTGTTAACAAAATTCATACACTTTTAGTAAGAGAAAGGAATTTATTTTATATTAATGAGCCACTTAATACGCTTTATTTATCATTTCCTGAGATGAGTTTTCAATTTTATCCTACTATTTTATCATTTTCTTACATACATGGGTAATATATTTTGTAACACATGTTATACTTTTTATTTGATACGATGTTATAAAATTAACATAATTTTTTTGACAGTGTACCGATACACACTTGGAACCGAAAATCTGGCATGTGATATAGTGTTGCGCAGGTTCATTTTTTGTGGCGTAGATAAAGTTATTGACCTCCGGCAGATGGACCACCTCGGGAATGTCTCCTTCGTTAAGAATTCCAGGGAACTATCCTCTAATCTTGGATTATGTTAAATTATTATCTCGTTTACATCGAGTGGAGATTAATCCACCGATTGCCTCGAACTGGTTTGCAGCTCGAACCTACCGTCCCACCGTAAAAACTGTTATCTTGCCGTGGAATTGTTTGTAATCTTCATTTTATGGATTTCACTCCCACATTTGTCAGTGTCGAGCTAGCCATCATGTTCCGAGTGAAAAATACTACCGGTCATTTACTGTGGGAACGCGTAATTGGGTCTGGGGTAAAAAATGTTGCATTTCGTTGAACGTGATTCACGTCCAGGAGCTTAAGCCTTCTTTTAGTATTTTAATTGCTGGGAGCATGAGTAAAGGCCTCTAAAAATGTGGAAAATCCTAAAGTTCAACAGTAAAGAACTTGGGTACATTTTTTAGACCACAGCTTTATCGAAACGTGTGGAAATAAAATCCTTGCTATTCCCTGTAATTCTCATAAAATACAGCGATTAAGTATTTAATTAGATTCACTTTTAATTATTTTCGAGGAAAAATGTACGTCGTGGAGTAATCTAATGCTGATGGTAATTCACTAGGAATACCAAGGATTTTAAATTAATCGGAGGACGTATGTACTTTTCAAAATCCATTTTGTGCCCGACCAATTATTGCTAGCAGTACTGTTTATTGTTTCATGCGTGTCGTAATCTGCGGTACGTGATGCACTTTTATGCACTTCTTCTTAGGTTTGGAAAGCCGAAGCTGATGATCTTACCGGTCATCAAGGTACGACTCGCTTGGTAGCTGTAAAGACTGTAAAACAGGGTGCTTCCGCCAGGGAAAAGGAGGATCTGGTGCGAGAGCTCGAAATTATGCAGCAATTGGGGAACCATCCAAACGTCGTTACGCTTCTAGGCTGCTGTACGGAGGAAGGTAAGAAAAGAATATCCAAGAGTACACTCTCTTAACCACTAAGAGGTACCTTTCCTGCCCGGCGCATTTTCCTTTATTAAGGTGAGCCTTGCTCACGCAATACCTGCCGTGCACTTCGCAACACCCATGTCAAGTAATGCAAATACGAATAGTCTCGAGAAGCGTAAAAAGGAGGCCCATTAAGACACGGTGAAGTTCCCCCGGTTTATTATACGTTTATTAAGGTTATTACACGTTGAAGTTATTCTAAATACTTATATTGCACGGTACCTCATACTTTCTCGACGGGGTGTTAGAGGTAGAACATTCACCGTGTCACGCGTGTTACGTGGAAATTATCCGGTTAATTGAGTTACCTCGTTACCTTGAAAATATAACCCTAAAAAATGTATGTATCAATTTCGAATTAAATTATGGTATGACTTTGTACCGTGGAACTATTCAAATTGACAACAGTTTGATAATGTATCTCATCACTTTCCTCCTTGATAGTGGAATTTTATTAAATTTCTAGCAAGTGCAATTAAAGAACTAATATTATTATATTACAAGGGTGATTGGTATATGCCATAATTCTCTATTCAACGTCATCACTTTACGCGAGGGATATTCAAGACGCTTAAGAAGCTCTTTAATTACTTTTCAACAGTGAATTCTTTCGGCTAGATTTTTTCGGTTTCCACGGATAAAAACCCAGTTTCCTGATATTTCTAACAAAAAAATCGGAAGACCTTCCAGCGCTTTCCAATCTTGACAATTAGACCTTGACAACACGGTCGTCTTTGAAAGGCAAACTCATTAGACGGCAATAATGGCAGAACCGCCAATCGCATATGGTGATTAAATCTCAATCACGTATTCCGGGAAGCATCGCAAACACAAATGACGATCTCGCGAAGAAACCGAGCTATAGATCAAACGAAGAAGAGGAATCGATGCATCACGTAAGCGGAAGACCCAATCCGCGCAAATCGATGTCGGAGGTCTTGGTTGATCTTGGAGGCTCATCCTTGCAAGCACTTGCAAGTACTTGCAAGCGATTGGTGCAATTTGTTTCCGGGAAATCTCCCTGAACTAACGACCAGCACACACGGGATTTGTCAGGGCTCATAACTCACGAAGACGGAAGATCGAACGCGATTGCCGAGCACAAAGTGCTCAGCGAAATCATCTTCACTTCGGTCTTTACGAAAAGAAATAACAAACCTCTTATTTCAGACTTCTGCGAGTCATTTCGTGTCTACTTTTTTTTTTTTTACAACTTTGAGTCCACGTGACTTACAAGCTAGGTGATGTTACGAAGTGACGGTTCAAGATACGTAACCCAGTGATATCGAAGTAATATTTTTCAACGAATGAAATTAATACTGAAAGTTTAGGTTAAGATACGTCTATCTTTAAATCACTTTAAGATCAATGGTTTTTGTTGTGAGTGTGCTCCGAAATTTCGGGGATGAAAAATTCTCTTTTGGAATTTATCATCTTATATTGTAAATAGTTCGGTATGGAACAGCTGGGTGAATTTCAATTAAATAAATTTCTGGAGCAGGAATATTGAACAACCAACATACGAAATGGAACACACAAAAAGTGAGGTCTACCTTCTGCTTTTTGACAAAATAATCTGAACTTTTTATTTGTAATGGGTTAATTACAATCACGCCTTTCTGGCACATATTAACCGTTTAAGATATTGCAATTTATTAGTGCCCAACAAATTTATTACGGATATCGATTCCAATCTAGTTACTTTTTCCCAATTAATCGCGAGCAATCTCTTAGACCTGATTTATGGTAACCAGTCATTACCTTCGTATTAAAACTAGCTTCACATGGAAACAGGTCATTTTTAAAGCGCTTACACAGTTTTGCTCTTCACTCTTCTTATATCCGAGTCAGCTATATATAACTAATTCATCGATGTTTATCAATTCACTCGGTCCTTTTTCCCATAAATCGCCAGCAATCTTTCAGATCTAAAGTACCGTCCTCGGTGATTACCCATTTTAAAACGCGCTTAATATGGAAACAGGCCATTTTTAAAGCCTCCTGTATGGTGCCTTTTTTATTGAGAATCTTTTTATATATTCAGCTCCAAAAACACTGCCATAAAAGAATCTCAGAGGAGAGGCTAGAAAGGGTCTTCGGGTGTAACGCTTAAATTTCTTACCACTTAAACAAACTTTTTTACGGCTTCAAGTTTTACCCAGCATGCCGGCGCATAATATTCGCCCTCGAAAATTGTCGAGCCTTCAAGTCTTCATAATGAAGAGGAATCATGATCGTTGGCACCAACTTGTCCCGACCTTCATTACCCCCTTCAATTACATCATGAAGGGTTTCGTCGCATGAATAAATTTTCATTAATCTTCAGGGGTACTTCGGGGTATGTAGTTTCACCTTGGGGAGTGTACGTTATTAACAGGTAATCAGAGTACGTTGCAGAAAAAATTACCTTAAAATGTAAGTTTTTCTTTAAATATTATTTAAAAGAAAGAAATAAGAATTTGGGCTTCAGCGTATAATCGATTATAATGGATTTTCACGATTGAAACTGGGTACATTTATTAATCGAACCTCCCACTAAAAGATGGCTTACGTTTTGCCGTTTTAAACGTTTATGAATAATCGACATCTTTATTTTCCGTACCGAAGGAATTCCTTACAATTGTTCCTGATGCCGGGTGTGATTGTAATACTCGTCGAGGAAAATGTAACGATACTTATTAATTTGATAAATTTAATAAATATTTAAAAATAAGAGGTATATGTACAGCTATGGGTACTATTTTCACGAAAAAAAGCACATCATCATTAGAGTGGCAATTGGTTAAGTTTCGTCCTCCTCGTTATTTTAATCATTATGTAAACCATTTGTAAGATTTCCTTTGATATACGTGAAATTGGTTTAAAGCGAACTGAAAAAATAATTCGCGAGGAATTTCGCGAAGGGAACTCGGCCCTGCCGGAATTGAAGTTTAAAGTGTTTCTAAGCACGGAAGATTATGTACACCCGGCCAAATCTCGGTTGTAACTTTGATGTCTAATTTAGCTTCTCGTAAAAGCTGTAATCACGCAGCCGTAATAGACCACTCGGTCGTACGCCGACCTAATACAAACATCAGAGCTTGTCAGAGAAACGGTCCACCATACTTTCGCTTCATTTTCTCGCACATTGAGTCTCTAACGAGCCGCAGACGCCACTTAAATCCGCGACCTTGAAAAATACACGAAACGTAACATTTGCTGGAATTTCCTGGAAATTAAATTTAGTTGACTTTGACATTTTAAAACTAGCATACAATTTTCCGCTGGATTGTCTCACAAGTTCGTTCCGTTTTTGTACTTGGGCAAAATATACTTTAAATATAATTTAACATGATTAGTCAATAATATATTCTCCTTTGTTGTTCTGAAGATGCTCTCAAAAATCAGCCGAGACGTGTTCCGAACCATCAGACCCGGTGCACGATATTCTGCGCAGATCAGGCCCCGAGGGCCGCGTATAAGCAGTCAAATCTAAATTGCAACTTCGACGTCTAACTCAAGTTCCCTCAAAAGAAAAAAAAAAAGGAAGGGAACTCTAGTCACGCAGGCGCACTGGAGCCCTCGATCGTCCGCGGCCCTAAATCCAACACAAACAAATAAGGACTTGTCAGAGAAACGGCCTCCCCGTTCCTTCGCTCCCTTTTTCTCGTTCATCATGTTCCTCCTGCAGCGAGCAAAGTCCCTCTTCGTCATCGTTCCTTCCTTTGTCTCTTGGACCGTACCGGTCGTCTCGTTGGAGGAGATGCGCTCCGACTAGAGACCCTCTAGCGAGATCTTCCATTGCGATCCTTTCAATCGGAAGAGGAACATAAATTCCGTAAAAATGAGAAAAGATCCTCTGGTGAGATCTTCCGTCGCGATCCTTTCATTCTCAATAGGAACTTATAAACCGCAAAAGTTTGTTTCAAGGTTAACAAGCCAATTGAATTTTACGACAAATGTTTCAAGAACCATCGATAGCCGACGATTATTAAAAAAAAAAATAATAGTTCCGTCAGACCGTATACCACTTAAAAGTCACATTTGGTTGGCAGTTTCTAAATAGTACTCGCGTGAAAGCATGAAAACCTCGACACAGGTGATAATAAACTGGGGCGAAAGCCCAATAACTCGTTAAACACCCTCGATAGGACGGGCCCCGATTTTTATCGATTCTCCATCATCACCGTGAAGAATTAATTGACAATAAAAGCCCCTCTCGGCAAGTTCATCGGTAAATTTACTCGGGAATTTACGACGGGCCAACGAAGCAACGCATTCTTGACGCTGCTCGGTGAAACGATACACAACTTCGGGCACGCTGCCGAGACTCGGTACAAGGCCCTACCAAGTTGGATGAGCGATTCGGGATGCACAAGATGTGCAGGATGCCGCCCACAGGGCCAACTTATTAAGGCGAGATCATACTTTGAAATCTCGGGCGAGGCGCGGGCCCTAATTGCGGCATTAAGGGGCATTGGAGAGACGACTCGGTGGCGGCTCCTCGAGGGTCGTTGCAAGTCAGCCCTTACGAGTCTTACGACGGGCACAGCCACCGACTGGGTCCGGTACAATGGAGCCCTCGAGGCTGCGTCGTTGCGGGCCACCGCATAAAATTTACGACATTCAAATTTCGGGTCCTCATATTTATCGTTCCGGTTTTGCGCCGCGCTTTAAGTCCCTCTGGACGTCCGTCGGCCGTCCCGACTGGCGCGCTCCTGCGGATCGACTTTCAACGCGAGGAGGTTCTCCGGACGGAACCGCAGACGCGCTTAAACCGGCGAAAACGCGACGCGAGACGGTCTTACCGACCGAAATTTTATAGGCCATGAAAGTACGCGGCGGGGTGTGAGATTGGCAGCACTCTGCCGATCCTATGTTCGGAGTCTGGGCGTAAGTACCGTGGTCAGGATGCGCCGAAAAGCGCTGGAAGTGTGGCCATGATGGTCTTAATTTGACGTTCATTTAAAATC